TCCCTCTGCCGCGTCCGCGCGCCATAGTCTAAAAGCGAGAATGCTTCGAAGACAGAAAAGAAAGGGGGGCGCAGAGAGTGTACGGGGAGCTCGTGGGGCACACTTGGCCATCCTATATCTTGTACACATCATTATCTGATCTGCAGACATACCTCGATACCATGAGGTGCATTTCTTGGGCAAGATGGTAGGCGATAAGAGAAAACGTGTTACGAACTGCCGGTTCGAAGTGTTGTGGGCGTCATATCGCACAAGTCACACGTATTCAGACAGAGATCACATCTATAGATCTCCGGTACACCAGTCCATGTTCCTTAACCTAGCACGCGCGACGCAGAGCTAGCGGCAGACGCGTCTACGTCGCGTCAATCGACGTTCATCGACAGATAACACGGTAGCTAGATTAGGCAACTCGAGCTGTAGCTCGAGCGGTCCGTAGCCGCGGAGAGCCGCTCCATCAACGGCTACGAGCCGACACAAGAATAAAAGTGCCGCTCTCATTGGCTCGCAAATTCTGGCTCGAGCCGCTGTTCGGTCCGGCACGGCACGCCGGCTCGAGCCGTGCCGTGGCAACACTAGTCTTCGGCAGGTACCCCTGTGACATGTGACTGCCGAATAGATTGAAATCATACAGTAGTTCGGTCTTTTGCTTAGTAATAAGGTTACGTAATCTTAGATAATCGCATTATATTGGCCCATGCATCCTCATTCGGAGAACACACTTCGCCCGGACGTCCTGGCCGAGGGTGGCGGCGCACAGTGCCGCCACCCGAGAGTCAGGGAGTCAGGACAAGGGGCGCAGAGTCGGGAGGGCTTTGACCTCCAAGATAAAGATAAATAAAAAATCCTGAATACTATTTACACCTCCCCGAAGTGGCTACAGGTGCCGCAGCTGTAATTATAATGGTCAACTCCTTTTCATGCTTACGTAATGTTCAGTAGTTTGTCGCATCGCTGTAGTTTGTAGGCTTTGTCTTGCCGACGCCAGCAATCGACACCTTTTCATTCATTCCCGTCCGTCTGCGCCTCGTTCGCCGCGCGTTCTGGTCCTAGGTGTTCGCTCAACCGCCGTACCCGTTACACTTGCCATCGTATGTACCGCGGCTGTTCTGCGCAGAGAACAAGGTATTCTCTAGAGCGTCTTCAAGACTTGTTCTGAGTTTAGGAGAATTATGGCTATAGTGTGAAATCCAATCAGCCTATGCACGTCCCAGTGCCGGCCACACTGTGTGACGTGACAAGCACGGTCACATGACCTCCACATCTGCGACGAATCGCATCACAACGCCACTTCGCGGTTCTCACGCTTCCTGCATTGTCCTTTGACCAAACAAGACCACAGCGATCTAGGCGAGAATCAACACTCATAGAACCACACGAGTCTGCCACACCAAACCATGAGAAACAGCTCCTGTGGGACCTTAAGTTCGAGCGATTTTTCAGACTCCGTACGTGTTTCTTCTCGTCCCCCAAACCACATCCCATATGGCTGACTCTCCTCCACCCACTCCTTCTGACGTTCCGTTGCCTCCGTCACCGCAAACTTCTGACTCTGACTGGTCCACAACTCGGGAAAATACGCCTGACTCTGACGTGCCACCTGATCCGCCTACCACGCCGAAAATGGGCAAAATAAATTATAAAACCGCCAATACTACCCCATACAATCCACAGAAGAGCGTTTCTGGAGTCACCTAGCACGAGTCCGTCAAAAGAGACCCTCGATTCTATCGCTCACTGTACGGGACCGAGGCCAGCGACTGCGCGTCGGCAATGAATATGGACATCTTTCTAAACACCTGTTTCCCGGATACCTACGGCATTTCCAAGTTTAAGGATGCTCATAAGAAACACCTTCAAGACTTGTTGGCTGATGTAAAACCGGGACCCAAGTACAATAGAGAGAAACCGATGTATCAGCCCATCGTACGTTTCCAGCGTGATCTTTCCAGTGAAGTGTGGAGTGCTAACGCTGCAAACACTTATTAGTGTGATGCACTGAAATACGTGTTCAGCGCCTTCAAGGAGGATCCCCGTCTGCACCCACTGGCGGTGCATGATGTATCAAGCGCTTACCAAAGGGGCGATGAGAACCTTCGCCTCATCACGCCCGATATTGCGATAGAGGCTGGTGATGGATCTGACGTTGCAGGTCCGTGGACACATGCGCTTGGCATCATTGAGGTCAAGCCGGACAAAGAGGATGATCCGGCTTGGAACAATGATCCCGAGCGGCCCTTGACCGTGAAGCAAACCAAGACTTTCAACCAGGTTCAGGAATACGGTGCCGTGGCGTTCCAGGTTCGACCGCGTTGCTACTTGCTAGGCGTCGGTTTCTACGATGATGTCGCCCGTTTCTACCGATGGGATCGCTCAGTCCTCATCTTTTCGGAAGCATTCAACTACAAAAAAGACTGCACCCCTTTGGTCAAGTTCCTCAACGGTTTTGCGAAATATGGCAATATGACCATGGGCATTGATTCTACGATCAAACTCGGGGCGCCCGACCACTTCCCTCGGCCCCTCCTGCGGCGGATATATCACAGGGCTATCGAGGAACACGTCATCGATCCTCCTTCGAAGGTCCAGGATGGAATGTTAGCTTCTCAAAGTTTTGAGATAGCCGCCCCCGCAAACCAGACCGAGACCAAGTCAGAGTCGTACACGACTATAGGTGGACCGCTCTTCAAGGCACGGTCCCTTCAAGGACGTGGTACCAAGACCTGGTTAGCCGTGCCAACTGCGACGACAGAGTCTACCTGCTTGGGTGGTAAAGAGATTGAGCAGTGCGTAATCATCAAGGACTCCTGGCGCGAGGCAGATCGGCTACCCGAAAAGACTATATACGACAGGATCCACGAGTCAGGGCACATCTTCGGTGTGGCGCGTTGCCGAGCAGGCTTTGATGTGGAGTCAGTGGTGGAGGAGAGCGTGAAGCTATGCCACCGGACGTGTGCAGCAAGTCTCAACGCGCGCTTGCCCAGGGCAAGATATCGGGAAAGGATCCACTATCGATGCGTATTAGAGTCCGTCGGGATTCCGCTGAGCCAATTCAGTTCGACTCGTCAGCTTGTCGAGGCCGTCAGGGACGCCGTTAAGGGTAAGATACCGGTGTCGTCTATGACAAGGTTGTACTAATCTATCGTGCCAGGCCTCCGTGACATGTCGAAGAGGGGTATCCTCCATCGGGATATAAGCGTCAATAACATCATGATTAGTGCTCGCCCCGATGCAGAGTACGGGGCTGTCGGATTTATCATTGATCCTGAATATGCCACATTCTTGGACGATGCGTCGTCAACATCAGACCTTCGTCGCATCACGGTTGGTACAGTCTTATCATATCACTTTGGCGCTGCTAAGCCACTTCTGTAGGGCACTATCCAGTTTATATCCATCGCCCTCCAGCGCCAGGTTGAAGGCTTGCATCATCACTCCTGGCATGACCTCGAATCCGTCTACTGGGTGACTCTATACGTTGTCGTGCGTCATGTTGATACCAACGTCGCGCCCCAACGAGTATCCCAAATCTTCGACAACAAGAGGCCAGATGGCAAGCTGGGATGGCTGCATAATGACTACAATGCTATAAGGGTGAAGCATCATCGCCCGCTTACCCAGTGTCTGCGCAAGCTTGGGAAACTAGTCGCCAGCCACCATCTGCAGATGGAGGAGAGCAATCTTCTCACCTATGAAAACGTACTGGAGGTCTTACAAGATGCACTCAATTCCAAGAAGTGGCCAAGGGACGACCCAGCGACTCGCCCGTTCAAGACGTGCCACGACGAGAGCAAGCAGAGGGAGCTCGAGGTCGCGGAAGAGGTCTCATCCGCGATACGGTCCGCGCAGGCCAGCGGTATCTCCTACGGAGTAGTGTCCCAATCGTCGCAGAAGAGCTCGTCTCGAAAACGCAAGGCACGCGATGTCGAGGAAGAAGATTTCGCACGGCCAGAGTCGTCCGATGCCAAGCGGGTGAGGAGTGAGCCCACGTCGGGAGTTTGATGGTTGCGTGGAGCGACGCTCCGGTTGGGAGTCACTTTGTGGGAGCGAGCGTCTAGATATTCGCGAGCTACTCCGGTGACTATTTGATGGTGTACGTCTAGTGTGGGGCCACTAGGATCAAGCAGTGAGCGTCTATATATTCGCAATCTGCTTGAGACGCGACGGTGGAGCGTCGCACTCCTGTATCCTTTTTTCTCTGTGTCTGTATCTGCATGTATTTTACTGGTTCTGTCTCAATGCCGCTACTTCTCTAATGCATTCCATCGAACCGCTTTTCCGTCTGACACGGTCAGGTTTAGTAAGTGTCGCATGAAGCCATGGGCGGTGCACCAGGAAATCCGCGCTAACCTAACACATTCCCCCAGCGCTGGCAACAAAAGTAGTAACATTGAATATATATTCTGCGAGCACCTACAGCGCTTCGTATGACTTAACGTCCTTGCTCGACCGCTTGGTGAACCACTGGTATCGCACGCCGATTGCAGCAGAGAGAATAATCTTGTCGCTATCAGTCTTGTGTATAGCACTGCCATGGGTGAGCCACTCGGTGTACTTATGCGTGTCCGTCCCAGAGTGCTTGAGCCGGTTTTCAAAGCCCATAGACCAGCGGGTTCTGAATGACTACGATAATGGTCAATGCGCTTGAGCAACAGAAGAAGCGAGTCTCGGAACATGATTACCGCAGCACGTCGAGAGTGTCAAAGCATATAAGTAGAGTATTCTCAGTTTGGACAACGGAATATCGTTGTGGAGCAAATTAGGTGATCTTGCCGGTGCACCGAAGAGAGGCCTCGGTACTCCAGTCCCGGACAACCAAAGACAACAAATTCGGTGACAGGATTTCCTGAGGTCCAGCAGCCGTGGGAACCATAATTTTATTGCAGAAACGAGTGATTTAGACTCTAAAGAAGACATTGGCACGAGCCGATTTCCCATAAACCCCCTGTAGCCTTCAATAATGGGTCGGGATGGGCCAAAATTTTGGCCGTATACAAAACAAATCGGGAAAAATGCGGAAAATATGCCAATCGACTCCTTTCAACCAGCTGAGTCTGATTCCGGCTTAAATCTAATAATTGGACCAGCCGATATGCCATAATAGCTCTCATAAGTGCAGGCCAAATATGGCAATCAAGGTAACATGTGCCATAAATTTGAACTTCCTTGCCAGTGGGCGGCCTCAGAAGGAGGTCCGAAGTCTTTGAAAGCCTAGATGCAGCTCCATGCAAGGGTTTACAGGTCACCAAATGCTCAGGGCGTGACCTGGGAGGTCCGGTGACCGTGTAGAATGTCGTTGAAATGGCCCAAAAATTTGGCCATATCAAAAAGTCGTGGGAAAAATAAGGGGACCTCATTTTTGGACGTTTCCAGCCTCCCTGAGTCCAAATCTGAAGTCGGTTTCCCGCCACAAAATCTCGTTCGGTCAGAAATCAATTTGTTGCCTTTGCTTGTCCGGGACTGTCATACCGGACGGACTTCCGGAGAGATAATCGAAGGAACGGTGGGAAAGATTATCCTCGGGCGGACCGACGGCGTACCGGCACCTTCGAAAGCGCCAGATAGCTCGACTTTACCGAAAGAGGGTATCGTTAATCGTTATACCACCTGAACGCAAAGCACGCATATAAATGTTTATCAAAGGGCAAAAAGCGCTTGCCGTGTCACTGGTACGAGGTCGTTGGAACTGTATAAAAGGAGGACTACGAGAGCGATGTGATCCTATCATCCTACCACTCCATTTCGCCTGCATCTTGCGTCGCTTTGCACAGCAGACGCACTTCATAATGATTCTCACGACTCCGAAACGTTCTGCACCCCCAACCTGCAATTGGTTTGGTGCGATCATCTATGTAAGTCTTTGTATCTTTGTATACCCTGAGTACGCATGAGGGTCTCCACGGTCGACGCAGGACGACAATATTGATCACCGTTGAAGGCAAGTGCACAGATACGCAACGAGTGTGGTCAGAGAGGTCTCCAAATCACAGCCGTACATCTCGTAGATGACTAGTGATGAGTGAGTTGAAATGAACGCTGTCACTGAGGTTAGGTGTATGACGTCATCTCCAATCGCGTTCACCCTGCTGCCACTCAACTGCCACTCTCAGTTTCAGCGCGCTGAGGTGGAAGAACTTCCTGATCAATTGCGAAAGAAGGTAGCATGGTCTGCTATCAAGTCATTCACTACGATCTCCGCCTGGTAACGCCCGCCTGTTTCTCTATGCTGTCCTCTTGTCGGCCACTTTGTTATCGACGGGAGTCAAGCTCAGGCTCGCCCTGCGTATCCTCCGATGCTCGCGCTCCAGATATCCGCTTCTTACAAGACATCCTCATCAAGGGACTCTTACATATACCCGAGTGCACAGAAGTATCTCCTATTGTCGCCTCAATCACGCAGAACGCACCTCTGATCAGTACCCCAATGGCAAGCCTCTTACTGGACTAAGCTCGCGATGAGTGCCAGTGATATAGGTGTCGTAGAGGTAAGGGTAGTGTTGGATTACGGGATGCGAGTGAATCAGTATGTTGCGGCTGCGTGGCTGTATTGGTGTGCGGGCGATTCAGCCCGAGTTCGCCTGCCGAAGTGGGTAACTCATCAACCCAATGCATGGTACCGGATTTTCTGCGGCCCTAGTATGCTCTCCGGCACATTTCTTCGCGAATCGCATCGCCTCTTTTCCTACCGCATCAACCTGCTCCTTCCGCGACGCGCTATCTTGATCTTCCCTTCGCCTCCCATTGTTGGCCCACGTTCGTACCATGTGCACCTCCCTCACAAGGCTCCGCTGCAAGGCGACGTCTAGAGGGAGGAAGGAAGAACATAAGGTCGACCTAAGCAGGGCAGAAGAGACGATTTGTGCATACCTTTGTCCTGTCTGACGTATCCTCTCTTAATTTTACTTAGCCGCTCAACAAGTACCGAAGCCTCCAATGGCCGCGAAAGTGCCCTTGATTCGACATTGGGAATTGCATGTGGGAAGGAGGTCTGTGATCACCGCTCGTCCGTCAATTCGTGGGTCAAGCCGACGTGTCCTAGGTGATAGGCATTTTACTTTGCTTCTATCTAGCGCCAGCGAATGCTTGGCATTGTACCCTCTCAGCCCACAAAGTTCACTGCGTGGCGAGACTCTGAACATCTGGGTTGTCAACACTCGTCGGAAGGCGATATCTTTGGTTTACTTACCCTTACTCATCTGTATACCTTTTCTGTTATCACCTGTACACCTTTTTTGCGCAACCCTTTCCTCAGAGCGGTCTGCTTCTGTCCTCGGGCTGTCATCACCCCACAGCGGCATCCTTCCTGCTTGCCATGACTCCATCTCTGCGCTTGAGAGCCACACTTTCTCCGTGATTAGGTGAACAGAACCTACTCGCGCAGACAAAAAGCTGTGCGCCAACTCGTAGCCTTCGTATATACAGACGCCCTGTTGAGAAATGGCTTCAAGGTCCAGTGTGCCTCGGTACGACCTTCGGATGCCAGACCAGGGCTGCGCTGGATACTTCCTTTCGTTCGTGTCAGCCTTTCGGGTTCGGGAAGCGCTCACCGGTGACCCAGTGTCTTCTAAGTTCCCCTAGTCTCCTCCCAACAGTAACGCTGCATGTCGTTGTCCAGTCTTCCTCATTAAGTGGATGCAAAGCGCGCGTCACCTATATGTCATATTTCTTTGCTTTCTCCACAAGTAATGGCGGGTGGCGAGCCTGACAATGACGTGGAGTTGGGCGAACGTTACAGGACCTTCCACAATCCAACCGGGATGTCAGTTTTCTATATTGAATACAGCTGCACCAGTGAAAATATAGAATAAACAAACGACGGTTTGCATATCGGATTTCGGATTAAACTCTGCATTTCGCGAGCGGCCGTCTGTACCAGGCTCCAGCCCATAATACCCACAACACTTGACTGAGCCGCGTCGGATTTCGTGTCAATGCTCATGTAAGCTACACTATGCGTCAGCCGAAAACGATGACCCGTACATAACCTGAATCCAATCACAATGTCTTGATGCCCAAGCCGCTCAGATGAGCTCTTTAGGTGCTATTGGCTGGTACCGACGGGCGGTCGCAAAAAGCGGGGTTTAATCCGACAAGCGCGCTGTAGACTGTAGCGATTTGAAAACGCCGGAGCTAGGCTCGATACCAGCCACTTCGCAATTCAAGCTCCGCTCGTACTACTCGCTACACTGCGAAGCGGCTGGGAACTACGGTCGCCCTTTTGGCGGGATGCGCGTGACACGCGCCAACTATGAGTGGGACTTCGTGATTTGAGAGCCTCATAACTCAGAAAAATCATGCCTTGGGAGATTTGCCCCATTGTAGGTTTTGAAGGCCATAGATTCATTTGACATAGGTCAAATTTCGATGAATTTGGACTGACTCAAGGAGAAAATCCTCTTTTCTCACCTATTCCAATCAACTCCATTCGCTTCAAAAACATCATTGAACAATGTGTGCCAGAGACGATGTTGTACGTCTGAGGGGGCAAATTTTTCTAAGTCGGAGTCACGCTTGGCGGGGAAAGTTGTGACCCCGCTATGTGACTGTCCGTTGTCGCCAGTCCGTTCGCAAGCTCACGCCTTCCATCACTCCGAAACCAAAAAAGGAAGGCGTGTGCATTGCGTACAGGACTGGTCGCGAGTCTACGCCGGAGCTCCCGCCACCGTGACAGATCACATGACACGCACGCGAAAGGCAGAGGCATCGCAACGCCACCCTGCGATTCTCACGCTTCCTGCATTGTCCTTCGACCAAACAGGACCACATCCGGCTAAGCGAGAATCACCATCGATAGAAGCGCACAGGCGTGCCACACCAAACCATGCCATACAGCTCTTGTGGGTGCTTAAATTCGAGCGATTTTTCAAACTCCGTACGTGTTCGTTTCTCCCCCGCAACCACATACCATCATGTCTGACACTCCTCCACCCACCCCTTCTGATGCTCCACTGTCGCCTTCGTCGGACCATTCCCGCTCCCCCACGCCTTCACCGGGACCGTCCGTCGTGCCACCGGGTGCGCCAACCACACCGAAACCTCGCATGAAAACGGCAAATACGACACCGTACAAGGCTCAATGGAGTGTCTCTGGCCGTACCCAACACGAGACCGTAAAAAGGAGCAAAGGATTTCATGCCTCTCTGTACGGCTCTGAGGCCGGCGAGCACCTGCTGGGCGCCTTAAAAATGGACGCTTTTTTGTCCGTATGCTTCCCATACACGGACTCCGACGACAGATTCTCGAATTTCAATACTACTCGCATAGAAGAGCTGCAAAATTTACTGGGGAAAATAGAACCGGGGGAGATGTACGACAAGGAGAGACCGATGTATAAGCATATTGTACGTAGATCCCGATCCCTTCTCGTCTGAGTATGATGTGCTAACGCCGCGACACATTTTTGAAGTGCAAAGCACTGCAGTATATTCTCAATGCCTTCAAGTCCGATCGATCTCTGCACCCGCTGGCGATTTACGACACATCTCGGGCGTACGAACGAGGCGATTCGAAACTCCGTCGCATCGCGCCTGATCTGATGATACAGGCTGGCGATGAAACCGGGGAGAAAGAACCATGGAGCCATGCCCTCGGTCTTATCGAGGTGAAGCCGGACAGAAAGGAGGATCCGGCTTGGCATAACAACCCTAGTCGGGATATGACCAGTGTTCAAACGAACGCTTGGAACCAGCTTCAGGAATACGGTGCCGTTGCCTTTCAAGCTCGTCCGCGATGTTACTTGCTTGGTATGGGTTTCTACGATGATATCGCCCGATTCTACCGATGGGACCGTTCAGCGGTCATCTTGTCGGAAGCGTTTTCGTACAAAACAAACTGCAGGCCTTTGGTGGAGTTTCTGTACGGTTTTGCGACCTATGGAAACAACACCATGGGCACTGATAGTACGATAAAATCCGTCAAGCCTCTTCCCATCCCGCTGCCTTCCTTGCTGCGATTATATGATAAGGCTATTGAAGCCGGCATTGTTGACCCTAAGACGAAGGTCAAAGGTGCCGATTTCTCCGCCGGTTGCTTTGAGATACTGGCTCCTGCAGGCAAGACGTCTCCTATCCCTGATGACGTTTCATCCTCTGAAAGCTCCGTATCCACTGGTCCTGCGGGTGAAACTTGTGCGGAACCAGAGACGTACGTGTCGTTGGGTGATCCGCTCTTCAGTGCGCGTTCCCTCTTCGGTCGCGGAACCAAGACTTGGTTGGCCATTTCAGCCGCGGCGTCGGTGCCGCTTCCCTCCCCGGACAAGGAGATGGAGCAGTGTGTGATAATAAAGGACGCATGGCGCGAGGAGGATCGGTTGAGTGAGAAGGTAATCTACGAACGGATTCACGAGAAAGGCCATGTATTCGGTGTGGCCCGGTGCCGAGGGGGCTTTGACGTCGGTGATGTGGCGGACGCAGAAGAGAAGCCTTGTCACGAAACTTGCGCATCGAGGGTGAACCCTCACTTGCCGAAGGACAAGGACGAATATCGCCATCGTATCCATCATCGATGTGTTCTTGAGTCGGTTGGTATCCCCTTGACTCGATTCCGCTCGACTCGAGAACTGGTTGAGGCGGTAAGAGACGCCGTCAAAGGTGAGGGGTCCTCCCTTTTTGCGGCGAGCTGGTACTCATCTACCGTGCCAGGCCTCAGTGAAATGTCCGAGAGGGGCATTATTCATCGCGACATAAGTATAAACAATATTTTAATCAGTGCTTGTCCGAGCGCAGAACACGGCGCGGTAGGCTTTGTCATTGATCCCGAGTATGCCGCGTTTCTGGAGGACGAGGAATCGTCATCGATTCTTCGGAGAATCACGGTACGTACAGTCTCGTTCGTTTAAATTGTGCTGTTAATCGTCGCTCCAGGGAACCGTCCAGTTTATGTCTATACAGTTCCAGAAGTTGAACGCGGTCGTCGTACATCAAGCGTGGCATGACCTCGAGTCTGTCTACTGGGTCCTTCTCTATGCTGTGATCTGCCATCTCGACACCAACCTTACGTCACAACAAGTGCGACAGATTTTTGACGCCGAAAGCGGGAGTGGCAAGCTCAGTTGGATCTGGCACAATCAATTTCAGGGTCTCGAGGTCACTGGACATCCCCCACTTACTCGATGCCTCCTTCAGCTCGGTCGACTAGTTGCTAGCCATCACTCTCCAGACCTGCCGGAGAACAAATCAAAGCTTCTGAACCATCGCCGGTTTCTGAGGGCATTGAATCGCGCGCTTGCCTCTCGTAGCTGGCCGGAGCATGACCCTGCGGCGGGCGAATTCAAGCAGAGTCCTGAAGAAATCACGCAGATCAATCGGATCACGGCCAAGGCAGTCTCTTCTGCTATACGGTCCTCGCAGGCCAGTGGCATGTCGGACGCGATCACGTCAGATGCATCAAGGCAGAGCGCCTCGCGGAAACGCAAGGCTCACGAGGGCAAAGAGGAAGCCCAACCTCAGCCTTCCTCCTCCGGTACAAAGCGGCTCAGGAGCGAGCCCTGAAAGCCATCCTTGGCCTTGGACATATTTCTGGAAGTGAGGCCTCTAGGTATTCGTAAGCTCCGTGGATGGCTGTTGAAGTGTGGTTGCTGCTGGAGGTAGTCTTCCTGGTGTGAGGGTTTGGATATTCCTCAGCTATCTGAATGCCTGTCGGTAGGCTTGACGGTCATACTGTTCCGTTTCTCGCCCTTTTCCTCTCATGTCTATTATCATACGTGCTATTTTATACACGGACGGCGGTAACTACACTAATACTAGTACGACGTATTAGCATTCGGGCCATATAATGGCAAGTGTGCAATGGCTGCCCGTCCCGGCGTCCGCCTATTTTCAATCCCGCTGACTACACTATCGGCGTCCTGATGTTCTCTGCGTGAGGTGATAATGATAACATTCTTCAGTATTCTTTTCTTTTTAAGGATCGATTTGGTCGAGGGGCAATCAGGCTGGGCTGGTTCCCTTCGGCCCGTTTAGATGTTCGGTACAAACCAGGTAGTATAGCTGTAATACTTAATGTGACGTAGAAGGTAACGGAACGGAGGTGGCGTAAACGTGCATCAGTAAAACCCGGAATCGTCTGATCATGAGAGTCTAACTTCAGGCTCCACAGACCGTTTAGACGCATTTACTAGTCAGGCTCATCAGGCGCCATAGGCGATTGGAGCTTTGGGCTTTTCCTGATGTGGCCCTGTGGCAGGGCCACGAAAGCCACACCATGGGAGACATAAAAGGCGGTCGGGTGAGTAGTGAGTACTTCATCAATCCGCCCCAATATTCCGGCATTCGCTTCCGAAGCATACTTTACTCTCTCATTGCTCACCGAACGCGCGAGCCTCAGTCGCCAAAATGTAAGGATTACATCGCTCGCGCTCAAAGTGAACGAAGTCAACTCACCTATCCGCCAGGAGGCCGCCGCCAGACCCGTCAATCGACGTCCCCAAGCGAAGATTGCAGACCTCCTTCTCGCGCACTGCAGCCATGCCTCACAACGTCCGCTCTAGAGGACTGGAAGAGGCACGCATCGCGGACGATGTTTCCTCGCACGGCGTCCTGGAAGATCCTGTATGCTCCAGCTTTCCGGAATACTATGCCCATGCCGAGTCGCTTCACCTGCATACGCTCTTGCTCAAGTCGGATGGTCGCGATGCATGAAGGCCATACATCGACCCTCAAACACGAGGTGCGCTTCCTGTGATATTCGGGAATATGCAATCCTCGGTGATATGTCCCCGCTATATTCTCTACGAGAACGAGCAATCCAGCGACACGGAATAAGTGCAAAGGGGTTTATTCGCCACTCACCACCTATCCGACTCCCCCCCCCCCACACCTCCTTCACTGGGAGCCCCTCAGCGGGTGCTGAGTGGCACTGGGTGATAGATGTGTCGATGGGAAGCTCATGACAGATGCGTGCTTTTAGGGATTGACTAGGCTTCTGGTACGATGCGACGTGTGGGCGTGGCCTCACTGTGGCGCCCTGTGGCATTCCTGCAGCTCTTGAAAAATATAAAGAAACATACATCAACAACTGCTCCCTTCTAGACCGGGATCATGCTGGACGGCGGGAAAAGGCGAGTGCAGATATTGCGAAGGGTAGGCAAGTCTGTCTCTCCACCTGTTTGACCTCTTCTCTTGCTCCATGAAACTCCACCTCTCACGAAATTCTCTGATTAGGACCTTTGGTGGGAAGGGTCCGTTCTACTAGAGACACCCATAGCGGAGGCATGGCCGCATGTGGGGGAGGGAGAACCGTCTCGCAAGAGATGTCGCTTCTATATATTTAGGTTTTGGATAGGCGTCTCCAAGGGCAAGCATATAAGGTGAGCATTGTCAAGCTAAATACAGAGCGACGAATAGCTCTTGCGCAGGAGCTGTTCACACGTGTTCGAGCGGTTATACGCGTGAGGAGGAGGGAGGTAAATACGCGCTTCCACAGACAGTGATCGTATTCTGATTTCTTATTGCATCTATCTCTCATCTTCGAGCGTAACACAATCAAACTTAGGACTAGCTACATGCCTTCTCCATTGTTCTCACCAGATGGGTCAGGTTGAGTAAGTTCGCATGAAGCTATGGGCGATGCACCACTGGCAGGCAATCCGCGCTAACCTAACATACTGCCGTTGCTCACCTCGTCTTCAGGACGTTCCAGCTAGCTATACGTACTACGGTGCAGCGAACCACCCTTGCACTTATCCGATTCCAGCGGATGGCCAACCACTCCGGACCGACCCTGCGCGGTACCGGAACGAGCTATGGACGCCCGTGGTCAGCCTGTTGGAGCTCCGGCTCTACATGCCATGACAGGGTCGAACCCATGTATAGACGTGGTTGTGAAGTCCTCTCTGCAGGGCAGGCCAGACTACCCTCCAATCCCCAAATCCTGGAGACACGTGGATCGCTAGCATCACTGATTATCGTATCCGACCAGCCACGAGAAGAGGAATGGATTCAGGATGCCTCCTGCACCTGACCGCGATAGACCCACGCACACGTTCCACGACTTCGTACAACCCGGCATCTGTGCCGCAAAGGACGAGCAACGGAAATGCAAACAGACCGTCGATCCGATGCTCCATTCTCCTAGGTGCTCCCTTCACTGTACGTCTCCCAGTGGGTGCTGGGCAGCGTGCAGTGATGAGACCGTTGAGAACATGTTGGTTAAAAGTGCGAGTCGGAAGGTTTGTCAAGCGGTGCGCTGGCAGGCGGTCAGCGCTTGAGAGCTTGAGTCTGGCCCTCTGTATGGCAAGGCCCGAAGAGAAACAGAGAGGGGAGAGAAGGACATACATCATTGTTCGTTCATCCCGTCGATGAATAGGCTTGTCCATGCTCGACGCAGGACAATAATATTGATCACCTTTGAAGGCAAGTACAGAGATACGCAACGGGTGTGGTCAGAGAGGTCTCCAAATCACATCAGTACATCTCGTAGATGACTAGTAATGAGCGAGTTGAAATGAACGAGGTTAGGTGTATGACGTCATCTCCAATCGTGTTCAGCCTGCTGCCACTCAACTGCCACTCTCAGTTTCAGCGCGCTGAGACGGAAGAACTTCCTGATAAATTGCCGCAGTCTGCTATAAATTTATTCACTACGATCTCCGCCTGGTAACGTGCGCCTGTTTCTCTATGCTGTCCTCTTGTCGGCTACTTTGTTATCGACGGGAGTCAAGCTTAGGCTTGCCCTGCGTGTCCTCCGACGCTCGCGCTCCAGTCATTCGCGTCTTGCGACACATCCTCAGGAAGGAAATCTCACCCAAGTACACAGAATCTTTCATTATCGCCTCAATCGTGCAGAACGCGGGGCCTTCGATCAATACCCCAACCGCAAGCCTCTCACTTGGCTCAGGGGCTCGCTGCGCGAAGGGCAGTGACTTCCAGCGACATGGGGGTAAGGGCGGAGCTGGATTGCGTCAATCCGCGTGTCCTGGGTAGTGGGCCGTGTTACTTGGCTCCTGTCTAGCGCGAGCTTGGCATTATACCCTCTCAGCCGCAGGCCAAAACGTTCACCGCATGGCGAGACTCTGAAGATGTGCGTTATCAACACTCGTCAGAAGGGGCGATATCTTTGGTTACTTACTCTTACTGATCTCCATAAAATTTCTTTTGTCACCTGCACACCTTTGTTGCGCGACCTCTTGCTCACAGCGCTCAATCACCCCATAACGGCATCCATAGCCCGGCATCCTACTTCACATGACTATCTCCTCTGTGGCTCAGTGGCCACACTTTCTCCTTGGTCAGGTGAACAGCACCTAGTCGCCCAGACAAAAAGCCGGGCACCGACTCGTAGCCCTTGTATATACAATCGTCCTGTTGAGACTTCAAGGGTCCAGTGTTCATCCGTACGACCTTCGGATGCCCGACCAGGACTTGCTGCGGGCAGAGGAACGCAAGTTGCGCTGAACATTTCTTTTCGATCTTCTCAGCCTTGCGCTTTCGTCGTCTTCTGGGAAGCGCTCGTTCTCAAGTCACTGACCTGCGGGACCAGAGTTGGTTGAAGTTGTTTCCGACGCAATCGGGCTGTTCTGGGCGATTCATCTAGTTCGCATATCAACAGGAGTGGTTAACCTTGTCCAATCTTTTGCAGCGTATGGGTGTAGGGGACCTTTATACAGGTTCATGGGTCAGAAGATTCAGATAATGGTCGGTGACGAGCCTAGGAATCACGAGTGGCTGGGAGACCGTCGTACTGCTGTCGTCGGATGGGCCGAGGTTCGTTTTGGGATCTGGCTGACGCGCCGGCTGGATTTGGTGGCACCTCATTGGTCGCCACCATGACGTGACCACAGGTGACTCTCATGTGTCTCGGACAGCAGTCTAAGATCCCAATTGCCTGCAGATGGCTTTTATTGGTATAGAGGGTTATGTTCTGGTAGAGAATATGAGAGTCCAAGGTGCTAATGCCATGCAATGAACTTGAGTCTCCGAATGATGCTACAACCCGCAAAAGTGGTGCCTCGGAGACGTCCGAAGTGGGAATCTCACGGTCAGTAGATATTAGGTTAGGGTTGTCTGTAGGCTACAGATGACACTCGGAACCGCAGATACACTTGCGCATGTGCATGTTGCTTTCTGATAAATGAAGATGATGCCTGGTGCTCTGAGCGTATGCCAGTGTGTGAGTGTGTACTGCTTGATGGGGATGTTTTGCATCCAGGTGTGCATTGCAACTCCTTCCGCGGAAACAAATGCGTGGACTTCAGTGGATATGCTATATTTTCCATTAGCAAGGCCGGTGCACAAAATTACAGCACTCTGAGCATTGTAGCAGGCAATGCCCTGCGGTGTCCACATGGACCACGGCAGGTGACACAGATATTCCGAAGTCGCAAACTATTAGGCCTCGGAGCAGATTGCAGGGACACCATGGAAACATTGGTGTGGCATACATCCTTGATTCTAGCTTGCTAACCCCATTTCTGAGACTCGTCTGCCACAGAAACAAAGCTTGAGGCCACAGTGGACACAACAAGCGATTTGAAATTGCCACAACGTGATACAATGGACCCCAAGCAAGTTGTGGCAGAAATGGGTGGCCAAGTGGGCTTGTGGCATTTCTTGAAAATATATATAAGGAGTCATGCAACAGCGCCTCCCCCCATCACCTTTCTCTGCACTCTACTCCTGTATGCTGATATCAAGCCATGGCTGATGCACAGACTCCATCTCGCGCTGACTGCTCTGGCTGCGGAGACATATTCCCTAACAAGGACCACGGAGGACTCTGCGGGCGATGCAGCCGATTAGATGAGAATGAGGGAGATCCTGATGAACAGGCACGGATCAAGGTGAGCATAACTATACCCATGCGTGCCACAACACACTCTGACAATGCCGTCAAATTAGACCATTCCCCAGTGCCGTGACTGCGGAGCAATCGGACGGTTCTTTGTGGATAGCCAATGTGGTACTTGCCGTCGTCAAGGTACGTTAACCGTCCTCAGTCTCGTGTTTATTCACTTATTCAGTGAGATGTACAGCCGAGGGCAATGCAGAACTTCTTGACAAGGTTACTGCTGATGCCCTTGCTGCTCGTAAACAGGTGTTTCAAGGACGCATGCAAGACGGTAAGGCTCGGGGGAAGGTGCGAAATGGCCTGGTAAATGTGCCGAATTCACCCTCCGTCGATCTGACCTCAGGCAACCTCAATGCTTTGCGTCATCCTTCTGGGCGTATGATTACTGTCTGCGTGGTCCCATACATTGACACAAAGGAATCTATGAACTTGGGGAGTATTAATCGTGCATACTCCGCTGAAACTCCCATGGCAGGTGCGATGCCACCGATGTTCTCTACATCATAATGCTCATTAGATCTTGTAGATATTGTGGACACCGTCCTGCAGGGCTGGAATCAGCAATGGGAGCACTACACAAGCTGCAGTTTACAAGCGTGAGTGACATCCTCTTTTGATTGTGGCATGGTGCGAATGACTTGGATGTATAGGTCAGATATCACTGTCTTGTGGTACAATAAGATCAACCCAGAGCCGAATACACTGGACGGTTCACTGGGAAACTTCTATGACATCCATCGCTCTGTTCCGAATGCAGACGCTTATCTTGGTGCTGCACCACCTTCTTATAAGTCACTCAAAGGGCCAAAGGTATGCTTAATGTTCTGTGAGTAGCCGTATTTCATTTTGTGTAGTCTTGCCATACTGACAAGTGACCGCTCTTGCCCTAGTATGAGCGCCGCACCCATGTTGAGGCTCCCCCGGAGATCACACAGAAGCGTGCAGGAGCCAAGCGGACGCACGGGAGTATTGATGTAGAAACTGGTCCTTCAAAGAGGGCCCGAAACTGTCAGTAGGCTGAATTGATGTTTGAATTGTAACTCATGATCAATGCTGCCTCAGCTGCGATCCCCCCTCTGGTATCCCTTTTCATTCCATCGGCAGTGGCCCCCCAAGCAGACCCGACAAGTGCAATCACTCTCAAGCGCGCTGTAACTACAGTCAATGAAGAGACTGGTGAAGTCCGCACGAAGTGGGGTTCCGGTCATCGTGAGGACCTACTTCAAGGCCAAATTGCATCCAACCCCCTTGCGCATGGCAAGACGAAGAAAGTGTATGCAGTAAGAAATGTTGTATTGTATTTGTTTCCATACATCACTGAGTACTTCACTGGCAGCTCACTATCGGCGAGAAAGATTTTGTTGCCAAGCGCTTCTTCGAAGTTGGGCATGGTCCGACCAAGGTCTCAATCAAGGAGAACTCCGAGCTTCTGGTCAAGGAGCTAACACGTTTGAAAAATCTTAAGTGGTTCTTGGATGCGTTCTATGCAGAAGCAGAAGAGCGTGGCATTGAAGTCGCCAGAGGTGAGCTCTCTGTTTCGGAGTTTTGGAAAAGACCACACTCAACTGTTGGCAGACTTTGCATGCTCTGAAGGGTTTCTGGCAGTGGAGGTAATCGGTGTGGGTGCTGAGCCCTCCGATGCGTCCGGTGTTTCCAAAGAGGACTATATGGCAGCTCTGTCGGACCTCGAGAACGACCCAATGGTGGTATGGCTTATTGAGCCACGTCGTGCTCTCAGAGTCGAGCATTACACGGGTACAATGGAGTTCCCAAATCGTCCCGGAAAGGTCGGTGCGACCATTAGCGCATTTACACACTTCGTGTATCATGCAAGCAATGAACAGCTCTTATTCGCCGATCTACAGAGTAAGCTCGCCCTCCTCATTCCTATACACCAACAAGTGTACTAATGGCATCATCATCCTCCAGGTTCACAAGGGGTTGTCGAAGATGCCGCAGGCAAGAACAGTGTCAAGCGGGTTCTATTCGATGTGATGACCCATTCCGTTGATCAGTATGTCGATTGACTTCACCTTGGTATGATATGATTAATAACGGTCTTGTAGGGACAGCGGCATTGGTGACCACGGTCAAGCAGGCTTCAGCAAGTTCCTACAGGGCCACATATGCAATGCAATGTGTAAGAAACTGGGCTTGGAGGAAGCTAAGGAGATGGGCGAGTCTGAGACGGAAGGTGTAGGGTACAAGTAATACTGGCTCGCAGAAAATTCTGTAGAAGTGTATATCTGTACTATGCATTCTAGTTTTCTAGTAGATTCTCCCCAATTGACACCTCTTGCACACTCATGAGTCCCAATCCAGTCCAGAGTCTGATTCACCGGCGGTGGCCGCAATAAAGTTGGCTCTAATGATACTTAGCACCTAGGCTTGCGTGTGCTTGATTTCTTAAAGATATATTAGGTTGGGTTGGGTAAATGAACCAAGATGTACTACATAGTATAAAGCATCACTCCAGCACAAAAGGTAGGGCTCCAAAGTGCTATTAATGATAATACCGGCAGTTGTTCTATGCCAGTGCTCAGCCACACTTTCAAATTCATTTTTCGCGGTTTAATTGAATCCGCACGTCAACATGCTTGCAAGTGCAAGTGGCTACCCAGTACTTGGAACCTGAGGTACTTGTCATATGTACTTGGTAGTCACAACCGCTGCATTTTAATAACTACTCTACAATGAAGGAGGTCAAGTATCTACGGGAACAGTATATACATCTACTTCCATGGCCATTTGGTCGTGGTGCACCCACTGCAGTTCTCGTGGTACGGCTAGGGATATAGTCGTGGTTTCGGCAGACGCGGGCAGCGCCACATGGATTCCCATAGCGGATATTGCTGAGCGTCACGTCACAGCTACATGTCACCAGTGTTCATTTGGGCATTACTTGCTATGCAACCCCTAGTTTTTATATTTTCTTTGGCCCATATGGCCTCAGAGGAGCCTTCCTACACCAAAAATAGGAGCATTGTGTCCTTAATCGAGTCTTAGGGAATGGTAGTCACGGCTTGTGTGACATCTTACACTGTCACACTTCCTGTTCCGGTAGGTTCCTTCGTTGCATACTCCAGTCCATAGCTCATGTATGCATCCTGTCACCCTCTGAGTCTGACGACCGCACTGCGATACGGCATGATAGCAGGGGCAGATCCTGGATCAAAGGGACATCAGAATGCTCAGATGTGGAACAGTGGAGGGCTGGACTTAAACATACCTAGATTTCACTGTGCGTTCGGTGCGACGCTTTCAACTCTCCGACACGTCGAAGCATTCTCAACGCTTTACACATTTCATTTTGAGGGGCATTCTATAGCTTATGATGTCGTAGGATCGGCCGAGAGAGTTGATATCCGCAGCATGTATAATGTTATCCTTTGCTTGCTGGTCTTACAGTGCCGCAGCAGGTATGAACATTGAAGATTGGAAAGAGAAGTGTGCATGTTAAAAGTCTGGTAAAGGATAAGGACAAGAATTGTGACTACAATCTACTGGAACATTTCAGTAAGAATCGGTGACATCTGCTGGAAAATCACCCAAGCAGTCTGCAGAGTGAGTATAGGAGAGTTGATCTGCGCATACACAGCTTCAGCCGCCTCTTCAAACTCATCTTCAACCCAACGTAATGCATCTTCCCTAGAGTGGGAGAGACTAGCACACAGTCTAGTAGTTGCATCCAGAGGTACTGGAATGCTCAAGCGCTGACCGCCGTAAGCCTCGGGGCGCGTAAACATGTCAGTAGGGGTTGCTCCGGAAGGCATCAGTTTGTTCTTCTGGTTGCGGATACGGTGCGAGTTCCAATAGGCAACAAATTCATCCAACTTCTTCTGGATAAGGCCAGGGAATATCCAGTTGAATAGGTTACTACTTGCAGCGTCAGTGAATGATCTCGAGCAGGGTCAAGCGGTTGCTTACATGTGAACAGCACTACCAGGGTTGAATACGCCCTGCGCACGACCACCTTGGAGTAATAGGAGAAGGTTTATACCAAATGTCTTGCGTAGCCATCGCCAGAGACCCTCTATGACCGTGTTGTGGGTACTCTTGATGGCCACTATGGCGGGATATTCCTCAATGCTTAACTGCGGGGCAAAGTTCTGCCTATATACTGATTGAGTATATGACGGCCTAGTGGAAGAATCTCGAACTTACCGTAAAGCCTGCTGCATCGCCCACATGTCCCCAGTCTCTGAGCCCTTATCCACAGTGACCTGAACAGGTATAGCTACCAAAAGCTGTATCAGAACGCTTGAAGTTTGAGGGCAGGCAGACAGCAGACACCACAATACTGCTCCACAAAGTCAAGATACACATGGCCGATAGCGACAGCAGTCCGGGAATTCGGGACAACCACAAGATATAAGATAGCACCCGAAAACTTGTCTCGCATCCCATAGAACTCGAAACCGACTGGTCCCATATTTAAAGCCTGGCTATTCAGCTTCTGGTGACCATCCATGTTTAGTTCTCCGAACACTCCAGGAGATGTCAGTTGCTTCCGGACAATGTGCTCATGCCTTGCTCCTGGGTATCGGCGCTGTGAGCCTTGTGGGTCATTGTCATGCATAATCTCCCACACAGTATCCCTGGAGCAGCTGCAATCAAGGCCTTGGATAACGAACAAGAATAGAAGAATACCTTGGTATGAGATGCCCTTCCAGTCCCAGAAGCCTCTGGATTGCCACTGGCCCATTTGCGCCGTAAGTGTCCTCTGCCATCTTCTCACATACCAAGGTTGTGGCTACGGAACGCGGCGGAGGTTTCCGGATGCAAGGAATATTCAATTTGTTTTGGATCTCCTTCAGTTTTGTTTTGCTAAGGTAAGCAATGATAAATGTCGCTCTTGTCCATCAAAAATAGGTTTACTGACCCGATATGATATCCATGCTCTGCCTTGAGTCTTTCTATGCGCTGAGGGAGGGTCAGGCGCTCGCGTGCGTACTGGAGAAGCGACTCCCTGAGGACGTCATCTGGGGGGCCTTCAATGTGGCATAAGTGGTTGGAGCACAAAGAGGCTGTGGCATACGTACGGACACCATTGTTGTGACCGTTACGAGTGTTGACCATTGTCTTAACTGTGAGGGAGAGATAGAATTGCCAAGCGTTAAGAGCAATGGCTGTCCCTTTATATATCCCAAGAGTGCCTAGACTACACACCACATCCGAGTCGCCACGTCGGAGTGTGGCTCACTGCCCTGGTGATGCATTGTGTCCATTTGCGGCTATAACAACACCGGCCACTCCGTGATTGATCGATAGCTGAATAAGGATTACACAGGAAACATAACTTACTCCCAGGATTGGAATGTCGCCTGCTGCCGGCTACTGCAGCTGCTCGTCAGCAGGAATTACTTAGACAGAAAAAGGAGCTTACTCTCGAAATCTGGGTTCCTACCAGAGACATCAGAAGTTGTCCTCTATGTTATTGCAACTGTGATACTGGATACGTGAGGAGGCCACTAGTTACTGATGGAGGGTCGTGGCCCGGGACGTACTATTGGGTGACCCATTGACCTCAGGCTTGCATTGGACATCCACTCGCCTACTACAGCATAAATTATTCACTACTTTCGGGAATTATAAGCCATGAGATAAGTTGCAGTCCCCATACAGAGATGAGCTAACTCAGCTTGCTGCAGACTTTACACGTTCTGCTGACCGTGACATTCCAATTCAGATGTCGCGGAGACATCAATTCTGCCACGGAAGAGGGACTTGAAGCACAAAGAGGGGGGTCACCCAGGTTCATGGACACTCGCATTTCATATCAGAACATACAGCTCTACAATAATAAACGCCATCTGCAGGCAATTGGAATCTTAACTGCTGTCCGAGACACATGAGAGTCACCTGTAGTCACGTCATGGTGGCGACCAATGAGGTGCCACCAAATCCAGCCGGCGCGTCAGCCAGATCCCAAAGCGAACCTCGGCCCATCCGACGACCGTAGTCGTACTAGTGTCCCGAGTGCCCATTTTCTATATAAACGTGGGTGCAGCAGTGCATGCTAACAATAGTACATACGATGATAGACGGCAATGGAAGAGGGAGAGAAACAGAATTCCATCAAGCGCACCAGGAATCTGAGGTAGATGGAGAATATCCAGACCCTCACACCAGAAAGACTGTCCCCAATACTAATCGTACTTCAACGGCCTTCAACGGAACAGGCGAATATCCAGACGCTCGCTTCCAGGAAGTCTTCAAGGCCAGCGAGGCCTTTAGGACTCGCTCCTGATCCGCTTCGTACCGGAGGAGGAAGGCTGAGGCTGATCTTCCTCTTTGCCTTCACGAGCCTTGCGTTTCCGCGAAGCGCTCTGCTTTGACGCATCGGAAGTAATCGCGTCCGACATACCACTGGCCTGGGAGGACCGTATAGCAGAAGATACGTTTTTTGCCGTCTCCTCATTCATCTGCGCAATTTCGTCGGGGCTCTGCTTGAATTCGCGCGCACCAGGGTCTTCCTCTGGCCAGATCGGAGACGCAAGCGCGCGATCCAAAGCCCTCAGAACCCGGAAGTGATTGAGAAGCTTGGATGCGTTTCGGGGCTGGTCTGGCAAGTGGTGGCTGGCAACCAGTCGGCCGAACTCGCGGAGACATACAGTAAGCGGCCAATGCCCAATGACCTCGACTTTCTCCCATTCATATTGCCAGATCCAATCGACCTTGCCAGATCCTCTTTCCTCGTCGAAAATTCGTCGTACCTGTTGCGACGTAATGTTGGTGTCGGCATGGCAAATCACAGTATAGAGTAGAACCCAGTAGACAGACTCAAGGTCATGCCAAGCCTTATGCTCGACGACCTTGTCCCCGTGCTGGAACTGTATGGATATGAATTGAATGGTTCCCTTAAGTGACAATTAGCAGCGTCATCTAAATGAAGGAGGCTGTACCAACCGTGATTCGCCGAAGGACCGATGTGGCATTCTTGTCCGTCAGAAACGCGGCGTACTCGGGATCAATGAGAAATCCTATTGCGCCGTGTTCTGCGCTCGGACAGGCACTAATCAGAATATTATTTACACTTATATCGCGATGCAGGATGCCCCTCGCGGTCATCTCGTTGAGGCCTATCACGGCAGATAAGTACCATCTGAGCACCGAGAAAAGAGTACCTTACCTTTGACGACGTCTCTTACCGCTGCAACCAGTTCTCGAGTCGAGCGGAATCGAGTCAAGGGGATACCAACAGACTCCAGAACACATCGATAATGGATACGTTGGCGATATTCGTCCTTGTCCTTCGGCAAGTGAGGGTTCACCCTCGATGCGCAAGTTTCGTGACAAGGCTTCTCTTCTACGTCCGACACAGAACCGACGTCAAAGCCTCCTCGGCACCGGGCCACACCGAATATGTGGCCTTTCTCGTGGATGCGTTCGTAGATCACCTTCTCAGTCAACCGGTCCTCCTCTCGCCACGAATCCTTGATAATTACACACTGTTCCATCTCCTTTCCCGGTGAGAAATGCGGCCGTGACGCCGCGACTGAAGTAGCCAACCAAGTCCTGGTTCCGCGACCGAAAAGGGAACGCGCACTGAAGAGTGGGTCTCCTAAGGTCACGTACGTCTCTGGCTCCGGACGAGTTGTACCCGCGGAAGCAGTGGTTTTGGACCTTCGAGAAGGTGAAATGTCCCCGAGGACGGGAGATGGCTCGCCCGCTGGTGCCAGTATTTCGAACGCATGAGAGCATAGATCGGCGCGTTCCACCTCCGTCTTGGGGTCGACCACCCCATTTTCAACAGCCTTGTCATATAATCGCTGCAAGCCTGGAAGCGGGATGGGAAGGGGCTTGGAGCATTTAATCGTACTATCAGTGCCCATCGTGTTGTTCCCATACGTAGCAAATCCGTATAGAAACTCCACCAAGGGTTGGCAGTCTGTCTTATAGTCGAACGCTTCCGACAAGATGACCGCTGAACGGTCCCATCGGTAGAATCGGGCGATATCATCGTAGAAACCCATACCAAGCAAGTAACATCGCGGACGAGCCTGAAAGGCAACGGCACCGTATTCCTGAATTTGGTCCCAAGTCTTGGTTTTTCTCTTGTTCATATCTCGTCTAGCATCGTTGTTCCAAGTCGGATCCTCCTTTCTCTCCGGCTTCACTTCGATAATTCCAAGTGCATGGCTCCATGGCTCTTTCTCTCTAGTTTCCTCTCCTGCCTGGATCATTAAATCAGGTGCAATTTGACCCAGCTTGGCATCGCCTCTTTCGTACGCACGAGATGTGTCATAGACCGCCAGTGAATGTAGGCCTTTATCGACCTTGAAGACATTAAGAATATACTGCAGTGCCTTGCGCTTAAAATGGACATCGCGGCGTGAGTATATCATGAATGGACCGGAAAGGGGGTTGTGACTACGCACAATAGGTTCATACATCGGTCTCTCTACATTGTACATCCCCCCCGGTTCGACTTTACCGAGTAGCTCCTGCAGCTCTTTCATCCGGGTAGCATTAAAAGTGGAAAATCTGTCATCGGAGTCAGTGTACGGGAAGCACACCGACAGAAATGCGTCCATTTTCAAGGCACCCAACAGTTGCTCGCCGGCCTCAGAGCCATACAGCGAGGAATGGAATCCTTTGCTTCTCTTTACGGTCTCGTGCTGAGTACGGCCAGTCACAGTCCATTGAGCCTTGTAGGGTGTCATATTTGCCGTTTTCATGCGAGGTTTCGGTGTGGTTGGGGCACCCGGTGGCACACGCCGAATGGGTAGGAGGTGGACCCGTCGTACGGTGTGGGCGAACGGGATGGGCCGAATGCAGACACGTCGTACGGTGTGGGCGGCCGGGAAGAGTCCAGTGAAGGCGATATAGGAGCGTCAGAAGGGGTAGGCGGAGGAGAGTCAGACATCGCAGGCTGTGGCTCAAGGAAAGGAAGGGACACGTACGGAGTCTGGAAAGCTCGAGTTTAAGGACGCACAGGAACTGTTTGTCATGGGTTGTGGTGGCGAATGGGTGATTCTATCGATGGCAATTCTCGCTGTGATCTTGTTTGGTCAAAGGACAATACAGAAGCGTGAGAATTGCGATGCCTGTCGTCACAGGCTTAGACGTCATGTGATCGCGTATGTCACGTCACACCTGAACACTGAGGACTAGTATATGCGAGTCTGGCACAACGTGTCGCCTTTTTGGGACGGGCTGCAAAAATAGGAACTGATTGCATCGTGCTGAGTCAGCAATCATGTACGTTGCTGGTGGACTTCGCTTTCGCAAATTTGCGCGTTTCGCGCCCTACAGGGCGCTTCCGAGTCGTCGACTTGAGCCGCGACTCGAATCATCGTGTTGTGTTAGTGTTTTTTATAAAATTCCAATCTCCCAGCTCACACTATGCATTGTCAAGGATGTAAGTTTGAAAAGTCAATGCTATGTAGTATGTCCTACGTCGCACTACATCTTGCACAACACCCCCACAGAGGGGACCTACTGATGATTCGAGTCACGGCTCAAGTCGATGACTCGGAAGCGCCCTGTAGGGCGCGAAACGCGGACTTCCGCAAATCTGCGAAAGCGAAGTCCACCAGCAACGCACATGATTGCTGACTCAGCACGATGCCATCAGTTGCTATTTTTACAGCCCGTCCCAAAACTGACATGTTGTGCTGGCCCAGTAGCGTATGGTGAATCGAGCACACGGTTATCATCCAAGATTCTCGGAGACTCATTCAGAGCTGCCTCGTACGCTTCTTCGTATATGGGAAACTCCATTCTGCCGAGTCTACCCAGTCCGAGACTCCGAGTAGATTAAATAGTCATCGCATCCGGGAAGAGGGACTGTAATGTTCAAAGCCTCTGTGCAATGTTGCGCTGTGTCGAGAGCCGATTGCGGCGGTGCCAGATGCCGTTAAAAATGAAGGGTACTCCATTTTCTTAGCGTTGAGCTGGTACTCATCTACCGTGCCTGTTAGGAAGCGATGTCCTAACTAGTCGTCTTGAGATAACTGGGCCACGTGCCAACAGTTATGTCGTCACTACCTCAGTAAGCGTACTGAAAGGTAGGTCTGGCCGGGCCAATGCCAACGGTCAAGTCAAGAGTCCAGGTAATCGCTGTATTCAACAGGAGGTTGAACTAAGGAATACATGGGTTTTCCTACAGTATATATAGTAACTGGTATAGGGGTTAATACCCAAAGAAGAGAACAATAAGAAAGGACGCGTAAGCCATCCTGTGAGAACGTAACTCAGAGAAATGAGAAATACAAGGGCGCCCATTGGTAGAAGGTGAGTCAAGGGGGATAACGTGTGAGAAGAAGATAGCGTCCATGGGAAGGTCTACTCAGAGAAAGGTACTGTCCAATAGCAATGCTCGGAATGGAAATGGAATGAGATAAGCATGGGAAAATCATAACAGTGCCAGACCTCAGTGAAATATCTGACTTGGAGGGG